CATCCTAATTTTACAACAAAGTGCATGGAGTAATGATAGGTACCTGACACTTCCGGTCGGCAACACGATGGCGCCTGTGCTTGGCTTAGCCGCAGCCACCGGCCACTTTTTCAAACTTTTCTCCACTAACCTCCTCTTTTCCACCTTGCTCCTGACTGCGATCCTCTTCAGTAGTGTCCCTGCTACCATCTCCTATGATCGCCAGACTCTTTTGTCCTTCCGTTCGTTCACGATCGCCCAAGATGCACCGAGGACGTACCATCTTGTTTGTTTACCTGAGTGGCGCACTGGCCCGGAACCAAGCGACGGTCCCGAGTTCCCCGCCTCCGGCTATGTTTGTCCGGTCCCGGGAAAACGTCGGAGGAAAAGAGGTAAACGAGAATGAATCCAGGTGAGAATAAGACTTCTCTTAAAGTTTGGTTTATCTAGTAAACATCGGCGCGATCTTCTAGCTTCTTGTCCTTTGTTTGGTGACCTGAGCCCCACTTCCGCATTCCCGCCAGGCCGCGTTCATCCGTCCAAGTTTTTTAAGGTCGGTTTATCCTCATTCCTCAGTGGTTTCTCCTCCTGTTCCCTCCATAAGTGGTTTTTATAAACACCGTGGATCTAACCCTGCTAATTTACGTCCACTAACTCCAGCTGTTTCTGTAGTTTCTGATTCCTCCACCTCACTCAGCATGGCTCTATTAAAGACCTGCTCTGTTAACAATAAGACCTTCCTGCTCAATGATCTAATTCTCTCTAAAAACCTGGATTTTCTGTTTCTGACTGAAGTTTGGCAGCAAACATCTGATTATTCTGGTCTTATTGAACTCTGCCCGAGTGGTTATTATTTTCTTAGCCAGCCCCGGGGTTCTGGTCGTGGTGGAGGCCTAGCTGTTGGTTTCAGAGACCATCTTCCATGTAGCTCTACAACCTCTGGTCACTTTGCTTCCTTTGAACTGCAGCTGATTAGAGTCGGGCGTAAGGACCCGTTCTACTGTGCTGTGGTTTATTGTCCACCTGGTCCAAACAGTTCTTTCCTTCAGGAGTTTAGTGACTTTCTATCCTCCCCTGTGAAGCTGTCCAGACTGGTGATTGTTGGTGACTTTAACATCCACGTTGATGATCCCTCTGATCTCTTTGCCATGAGTTTCTCCAGCCTTATGGACTCCTTCGGCTTTACCCAGCATGTTTTTGGCCCCACACACACCAGGGGGCACACTCTAGACCTTGTTTTTACCCTGAGTCTAAATGCTGACAGTGTTTGTCCTGAGGACGTTTATATTTCAGATCAGCATTACATTTTCTTTAACTTGTCAGTTTCTGCGTCCCCACCTCCTGCTCGCCATATGGTTAGTTCTCGTTTTCTTAATGAGAGCACAGCTAGCAATTTTTCTGCTGCTTTTGATCCACCCTGTTCTTCTGATAACGACCCAGATTCCTTAACTTCTCAGTTTAACGAGCACTGCCTCTCCATTCTGGACAACATCTGTCCTGTCAGAACCAGATCAGTTCCTGCAGTGAACCCTACTCCCTGGTTTAATGACAGCCTTCGCAGCCTGAAGCGCCAATGCAGAAAAAGTGAGCGTTTGTGAAAGAAAACCCATCTCCACGTCCATCTGCTGCACCTAAAGGATCTTCTGACATCCTTTAACTCTGCAGTCAGAGACGCCAGGGTTTCCTATTTTTCCAACCTGGTGTCCCAGAGCAAAGGGAACCCCAAGGTGCTGTTTAACACCATCAGCAGCATCGTCTCTCCTGCCTCTCCTACAGCCTCCATCCACTCTGTTACAGACTGTGAGAACTTTCTGTCTTTCTTTGTGGACAAAGTCAATAAGGTTAGATCTAGCATCTCTCCTTCAGCCTTATCGCTGCCTCTCCAGACTCCAACCAGGCCCATCATCCCAGATAGCTTTGCTCCTGTTTCTTTGCCTGAATAAACCAAACTAGTTAACTCTATGAAGACCTCTGCATGCCCCCTCGACATCTTACCCTCATCTTTGTTTAAAAGTGCATTTCAGTCCACCGGTCCCAGCGTGCTCTCTATAATTAATGCTTCTCTGGTCTCTGGTCAGGTCCCTGCTTACTTTAAGAACGCTGTAATCCACCCGCTTCTTAAAAAACCGAGTCTCGACCTCTCTCTCCATAGCAGCTTCAGACCCATCTCTAAACTTCCGTTCATCTCCAAGATCTTGGAAAAGGTTGTGGCTAAACAACTCAGCTCTTGATGAACATAACATCTTTGATAGCTTCCAGTCAGGTTTTCGTAGAGCTCATTCTACTGAAACAGCTCTTCTTAGGGTCTCTAATGACCTTCTGACTCACAGTGATGCAGGGGACTGTTCTGTTCTGGTCCTGCTGGACCTGACTGCAGCCTTTGACACTGTTGACCATCACCTGCTACTGGAGAGGCTGAGAGACTGGGTAGGCCTGTCAGGATCTTATCTCTCTGAGCGCTCCTTTTCTTTGGCCATCTCCAAGTTTAGGTCCTCCACCACCATGGTGTCCCACAAGGTTCTGTGCTGGGACCTCTGCTCTTCCTCCTCTATCTGCCTCCTCTTCAGCACATCCTGAGCTCCTTCAAAGGAATCTCCTACCATCTTTATGCAGATGGCATCCAACTGTACATCTCCTTTAAGCCCCATGAGATGTCTAAGCTGCAGCTGTTACACACCTGCTTAGACTCTATCAAAACCTGGATGGCTGGGAGCTTTCTTCAGCTGAATGAAGATAAGACTGAGATCCTTATCTGTGCCCCAGACAAGCTAGTTCCCAAAGTCAGAGACTCTCTTGGTCAGCTTGCTTCTCACACCAAACCTTCTGTCAGGAATCTTGGCGTGACCTTTGACCCAGCTCTCACCCTGGATTCTCATGTCAGTTCTCTTGTTCGCTCTTCCTTCTTCCATCTCAGGAACATTGCTAAGCTGAGTCCCGTTCTGTCTCGCTCTGAACTTGAGACTGTTATCCACACCTTCATCTCCTCACGCTTAGACTACTGTAACTCTCTTTTCACGTGTCTGAGCAGAGCCTCCCTGAACCGTCTACAGGTGGTTCAGAATGCCTGTGCTCGGCTTCTGACCAAGTCCTCCAAACACACCCACATCACCCCGCTTCTCCTCCAGCTTCACTGGCTGCCAGTCAACTTCAGGGTTCATTTCAAGATCCTGGTTCTGGTCTATAGGGCCTTACATGGACAAGCACCATCTTACATTGGTGATCTTCTTAGTCCCTACACCCCCAGCAGGTCCCTGAGGTCCAGCGATCAAAGCCTACTGGTTGTGCAGCGCACCAGGCTTAAGACCAAAGGTGACAGATCATTTGCTGCTGTGGCCCCCAGACTCTGGAACTCTCTCCCCCTGAGCCTGAGATCAGTGGACTCCTTCAAAAAGCAGCTGAAGACTCACTTGTTCAAGCTGGCTTTTGTGTGACCTTCTTCAACCACTCTCTCTTTATTCTGCTCTCCCCACCTATTCCACCTTCCTCAGGATCCACTGATTCCCCTCTTTCCTGTTCACTCTCTCTTTCTTAACATTTCTTTTAATCACAATTGCCTATTTTTGCTCGTTTTAAATATATTTTTAAACATTTTCTAAATGCTTTTTTATATTTTTACATTTTATGTCTTTGTGAAGCGCCTCGTGATTTTTATCTTGAGAGGCGCTATAGAAATGATACTTCTTCTTCTTCTTCTTTTTCTTCTTCTTCTAAAGTGTTCACATCTAAGCCTCTGTGCCTCTCGAGGGGGGCGGGGGCCTTTCTGGTCGCAGTCTCCTTAGGGTTGATGCAGTGATAGCTTGATGTTGTTGTGTCCCATTTTTTTGTTTGTTTTTTGTTTTTGTTTTTTCTCTTTCTGCAGGTCTAGAAGCAGACTCTTGCTCATTATTGTTTATTTTTGTGGAACACCACACCACCACCACCTTTTGTCTTTTCCTTTCTCTTTCACCTCTGACTCCATGTCTGGTCGGAATTACAAAGCATTCAAAAACAATAACAATAAAGTTTTAAGCATCAGGGTGACATTAAAAGCAGACGCTTTGATGCTCCACCTGAGAGTAAATCTGTAAGGCTTGTTACCAGCATTCAGACATCAATTCTGTTTGCTTCACAGCCAGACAGGACACGGTAAAAAAAAAAAAAAGCAATGGGTTTTTCAATGAATATTAACATTGTGCTAACCACTCGCTGCCAGTCAAATCGCAGCCTTTGCGATTTGAAAATCTCCTTTTGTCACATCGCAATTTAATTGCATATGCAATTAATAGTTCAGTTCTAGTGCAGACTTGGCAACCCTGTGGGCTCACATGATTGGCTCTGGAACCAGGTAGGGAGGCAGGACAGAATGTAAACAATGATTATGCCCCTCTTTGGCCTTTTTTAGAGCATTTGCACTACGGTCAGCTCAGTTTGGGCCGGGCAGGGTAATTACATTGGCATTGTTTGTGTGTTGTTCATGCGGAGCCGTCATGAGAAAAATGAAAAACTGACAACCCCAAGCTGGCTGAGAAGGAAGTCTGTTTCAATGTAGCATTCTTTCCAACAAGATTGAGACATTAGGCTACGTTGTGACAATTTTGCTGTCAAATTCTTACTTATTGCACCTTAAAAAATTTCATTCTTGCTATTTTGTTTCCATCACTTTTTACACACTTTCATAAGAAATAATCATGTGGAGAAAAAAAAGCACTTTTGAAGAAAATCCAGTGCCATTTTTGGAGGATTGTTGATAAAACAACAGAATCTGTTGATATCAGTGTCAGTGATCTTTTGTTGTAATTCAAAGTGGCTGAAAGATTATGATTTTGCATGAAATGCATGCAGGTTTGATGCAGTGTAGAGTCCTCACGATGCTCTACCACCTCTCTCCCACTCTCTCTTTGTACACTAAATGAATGTGTGCTGTGTGTGTCGCTGTCACCGCCTGTTGCGTTTCTATTGGACCATGTGTGTCCCCGTTGTTCTGTGTCCACATACCATACCTGTGTGGTCTTGTGATGCCCTATTTGTCTGTGTGTGTCCAGTGAGGGGAAGATGGTTGTTCTGTCTCTAGCAATCGGGCTGGCTGAACAGGATGACTTTGCCAACCTCCCAGATCTCCAGGAAGCACCAGCGAACAAAGAAAATGAAACCACACCAGAGAAAAGGTAATGCCAGAGCGAGGGGCTTGAGTATGAGCAGAGATGAGTAAATGTTACCCACTGATCAGCCACATCATTAAAACGTACTCTGATCTTTTGGACATGGGACCTTAAGATTGTAAGAGATGCAGTGCTGGATTTTGATTGATCAGGATTGTTGTATCACCTGTATTAGAATCCTAAGAGTTCGGAGGTTTGATCGGTTTTCTTGGTATGACCTGTTCATTGGCTGCTGCTGTAAAGGAGAGCTGACAGGTGTCATGTTGGTGTTTTGTGCAAATTAAAGGTGCACTATGTAAGAATAAAAGGGAGAATTTTACAGTGTGAAAATCAAAAGAGTCTTAATGTTTCAGTCATTTTGGATGGAAATTTATACTGAAACATAGTTCACATCCAGCTGACTGCGGGGATTGTCAGATTTTCTCCTTTCAAAATAAAAGACGGAGGGATTTAACTAATGTTTACCCTCCGTGAGTGTGGGGTGTTCGTGTCTCCTACGAAGTAATACTGCAGCGCCAACAATTGTAATTTGGCGACGCTGCAAAACGCTCCAGAGTTGTTTAAAGTTGTTGCAGTGACAAAATATTACCACAGGATGTACTTTTAACTTAATTTCTGCATGATGCACCTTTAATGTTCATATTAACACCAGGACCTCAGTAAAAGAGGGATTATTGGTATTATTTTCCTTATGGCTGTGGTTTGAATGTTGTGGCTGATTAGTTTGATGTGTTTTGCTAAATATTCGGCTCTTCAGACTGATGTGACACTTGAGGGTGTTGTCTAAATGTATTCTGAAATGCAACTATTTCTAAAAGTAATTGTATTAATTTTACATTTACCATTTGAAATACTTTATTCAATTAAGAACCATGAAGCTACGGTGATGTTCTGCTGAGCTGTGGTCCCTCATGATGGGGACCATCGACTTGAACACTGTTGCTAACCATTTAAACATTCTCCCTCTCCTGATAATAACATTTTAATTTCATTGACATTGGAAGTGCTAATACTAGTTTACCCATTTAATTATGGATTCACTAGGATAAATACAATAAAGATTATCTCTCACCAAATAGAATATTTACTAAGAAATCACAATGTAACCATAGAAACATTACTTGGTATGTTGTGTGTGTGTGTGTGTGTGTGCGTGCGTGCTTGCGTGTGTGTGCGTGCGTGCGTGCGTGCGTGTGTGTGTGTGCTCTGTCTTCTTGATCTCCAGTGAGTCGTGGTGGATGGCTGCTTATACAGAGCCAGGATCCTCTGGAGGTTTCTTCCTGTTAAAAGGGAGTTTTCCTCTCCACTGTCACTAATTTGCTGGGTTCCTTATGTAGGAAACTTTTTTCTGATTGGCTTAATGGACTGACCTGTATTGGAATATTTACCATTTGAAGTGCCTTGAGATTACTCTTGTCATGATTTGACGCTATATAAATAAACTTGAATTGAATAGCATTGAATTGAAAACCTATTTTTCATTCATTTATTTGCCTTCAAGCAAAACCATTTGATTGTACCTAATTTACCAGAGTAAAACATTGGCATTTGTGCTTGTGGACTTCTGTAGCACTGAGGGTCTTTTTTATCAAGCAAATAAGCAGTCTGTGAGATTGCAGAAGTAAAAAAAAAAAAAAATGAAAGGGACTTTTGTTTAACCCTCTCAGGCTCAAAATAAGTTTTGATAAAAAGACGAACAACTAAGTCCTTCAGGGGTACTTCTGAGTTAAAAAATGCTCATGAAATACGTATGTGGAGTAACCAGGTAGGTAGGTTTTAACGTTGCAAATCTGCAACACCTGCCTCCAGAGGGTTAAGAGCTTCAATGTCTCCTGAAAATAGAGATTATTTTAATTGAACTTTGTTTCAGTCAACCATTGCAGACTTGTGAATAAAATCTTTTATATTTTAAAGAATTTGTTCTTACTCCACTTTTTTGTTTGGAAAAGACTCTAAAATGTGTTTGTTAGGTTCAGCCAACAGAACATTTTAGTTTATTTTGGGGTGTTAATTACAGTCCCAGTGTTGTGATCTGAGGTGGATAGGATATTGGGTATTTGCTGCCCTCGATGGATAGTATTCTCCACATTTAAATCTATCTCTGTTTAAAAACAACAGGTGAATAATTACTTCCACAGAACTTAGCATCCGGCATGTTGAAGCAGGGAAGCATTTAAAACATGGTCACCAAGGACTGGCGTTGCATTTAGATGGTGGTTGAAGGAAAAACCCAAATGCAGAAAACTGGCAGCAGGGGTCTCCATCACTTTTGACGGATGTTTACATTTTTGCAACATATAGCTATCAATATGTGGTAGTTGAGACCAAGTGGCCCTCGTGGATCATGAAAGCAAAACATTTTAAATGGGACATTTAACTTTTTTTTTCTTAAAGTTGTACTGTGACTTTCAGGAACTGGAAGTGATTCAGATCAGAGTTGAGCTGAACATGACAGGATTTGTTGTTTCCTGATATTTAGACATCTCACTTCTGATTCGCTATAAACTCTACCACCAACTCTGTTTGTCGTTGATCATTGATGTTTTATCTCCACAAATAACACAAGCCTGAAGGAGCCTCTGCCATGTGGTGGAGTTGCTTGTCTTCCATGTTGCTGTGCGAGTCACAGCCGCATCCTACTGACCAGCTTTCTGCTCTCTGTCCGAAGCAGCATCATTTTTAACCCCTTCTTTCCACCGGAGCCGTCAGCAGCACGTTACTGCAGCAGCACGTCTTGCTCGCGTAAGCTGCTGCTTGGCCCTTCCCACGAGACGCGAAGCAGCAGGGGAGCAGCTGTCACAGACAGAGCACGAAGTCACACGAGTGACTTCGTCAGTAAACACAACAACAAGCAGGAGAAAACTACAACATGGCTCCAAAAGGTTTGTGTTTTATGTTCTGTCCGTTTTATAATCGCCAATACGGACCTGAAAAACAAAGGAGACGCTAGCTAGGTGATAACTTCTCACGGGGCCGCACAGTTAGTAACCTTTTTTAAAGTAAAGCAACCGGAAGGCAGTACGTTTCTTTATTCTGAAAATCTCGAGAGCTTCGCTCCGTTTCCGCGTCCGATTTCCTGTCTTTCCTTCCCCAAAAATGTCGAACTTGACCCGTTTCAGAGGCGTCGTGCGTAGAAAATAGAACCGGCGCGTAAAGGCCGCGACATGCTGCTCCTGAGACGCGGCCGACTCGCGCTGCTGACGGCTCCGGTGGAAAAGGTTCTGTTGACCACAGCGGTTCCTATCAGCAGCTATGACGTGCTGCTGCAGTAACCTGCTGCTGACGGCTCCTGTGGGAAGAAGGGGTTATGCATGTTTCACTAAGAACGTTCTTCTAAAAGCCGTTTTAGAAGCTATTTTAGTGAGCGAGCACAAGCTGGAAAGTTGGTTGCTTAGCAATGGCGACACTGTCCGTCATCCATGGGTAAAATTTACCAAGTGAACAAAAGAGCCATCAGGCAGACAAAGACAAAAATAACTATTTCTTTTTTGATGCATACTTTTATGTAAATTAAAATGCAAAAATAAACGGTACAATAGGAAAAGTCAGGATGGTCAATTGGTACAGGAACTACAATTATTATATATCAAAATATGAAAACAGTCACAATGACTGTCTTGGGAGCTCTAGGGCACCTGAAGCCTGATTGATACTTCTCGGAGTGTTGCAAAGCAATTTCCCGCCAGGACAACAGAGGGCATGGCGCTGTTCTGAGGTATCCTGCCACCATAACACTCGTGTCCTGTCCACGATAGTGAATTTATAGCATGGACAGATTGTCCTTCATTTTCCTCCACCTCTAAACCCACGTTTCCCATTGTTTTTGTCCACGTTTGCTCCGTAATTTGTACTCCTTCAGTCACGGGTGACTAAACGTTCATAATGTCAAACTTTTCCGTGCTGCGTTTTTCAGTCTGTTCTGGGTCTGCCCCAATATCTTTTTACTTTTTAATGGGGAAACGGTGGTGCTGGTGGTGATGAATTTACAGGAAGCGGAGTCCTGACCAGCTTGCGGTCTCCATCACTTTTGATGGATGTTTAAATTTTTGCAACATATAGCTATCAATATATGGTAGTTGAGACCAAGTGGCCCTCAAGGATCATGATTTGATCTCATTGCTACCTCTCACCACCCCAATAAAAATAAACGAATACATTTTAAAGAGGGCAGAACAATAGTAAAAAACAAAACAACCCCCCGCACACACACACACACACACACACCCCAACACCACCAACATAAAAAACATCCATCTTTCCATTTTCTGAGCCCGCTCTGTCCACGCAGGGGGGATGTGCCCATCTCCAGCAGTCAACGGGCTATCAGGCAGGGTACACCCTGGACAGAGGGCCAGTCCATCGCAGGGCAACACAGAGATACACAGTACAAACAATCATGCACACACACACCTAAGGACAATTTAGACAGACCAATTAACCTAACAGTCATGTTTTTGGGCTGTGGGAGGAAGCCGGAGTACCCGGAGAGAACCCACACATGCACAGGGAGAACATGCAAACTCCATGCAGAAAGATCCCAGGCCTGGAAGCGAACCCAGGACCTTCTTGCTGCAAGGCAACAGCTCTAACCACCGCGCCACTGCGCAGCCACATAAAAACCAAAACAACAAATTGTCACCAACCAAACTTTTTCTTCAATCTTTCAACACTGGCTCACATCTGAAAATGGCATTTCTGTTGATTTGACCCAGAAAGTTTGATTTGTATTTCGAATTTAGGAGTTGAGCTTATTTCTGAGAACATTTCCGTCACAGGTGTTCACCTCACCTGACATCAGAATGGATTTCTGACCCAGTGAATGAGTAGATGTCGGACAACTGAATAAAACTGAAGCACACACTAGAATCTAAACTTTTATTTGCTAAGAGAGACACCATTCTCTCAGCTAGTGTTAAAACACATTTCTGCAGCAACAAACCAAAATAGCATCATTTGTTAGCTAGCTGCCAGAGCAGCATGACGTGTTAAACAAAACACTGGTTTTA